AAAATTTCGATCTTCGTTTAGTCAGTAGAAATGTTAGCTTTTTTACTTTTGTTGAAAAACATATGTTTAAATTTAGACGGACCTTAAAGGCACATGCAATTTTTTCTTGGGAAGGTCTCGCCATGAAAAACTATTAAGTATATTTTTGAGTAAAGGAACAGGTCTGTCTCAACTTTGCACTCAAAAAAAACTTGAATAAATACAGTAATATAATAAATCGTGGTAAGACCTTACCAAAGTATGCCTTTAATGTTCCCGAGAAGAACATAACCAAAACTATACACTATTTGATTACAGAAAGGGTGATGCGTGTCCAGAGAAGCTGCCAGAACTGATTGCATATGCAATGAATTCGAAATCAGAACCGAATAATAATGTGGAGATGAGGAGAGAGTTGAGAGACGAGAGAAAACATCGAATGAGTATTGAACCTGTGAATTCGAGAGAAATGGAAATGGAACAGGAATTGGATCTGTTGAGGAAGGAGCTGAATATTGAGCAGAAGATGAATTCAGAGTTGAAGAGGTTGATGATTGCCACGTTGAGTGATGAGTTACAAGGACAGGTGGAGGCATTGACAGAGGATAAGGTCCGGTTGGCACATCGAGTTGATGAGTATATGGGAAAGGTTAGTGGGGATGGAAGAGAGAGAGAGAGAGAACACAAAAATTGAAAAGTCTTTTATGCTTCGACGCGCATCCGGCGCTCCAGCAGTTGTTATTTTTCGAACCTGAGATAAGGTCTGCACTGTAAATATTTTTGAATGAACAATTTTTTCTCTGTTTTTATGCTCCATCTCACACGGGCTTTCACAAATTTCATATCGCGTCTTCAAAATCTGACAGTAAGCCGCACGTAAGCCGAAGGAGCGCGCACCATGTTTCCAAAGCACTTTTCAGCAATAACTTTCGATCAAATTCTGTCAATATTATATTCAACATGATGCGATGAAAAAGTTCTATCCAATTTAATCCAAAAAAATCTTAGGCCCTGATTTTCAATTTTTCAACACAATGAGGAATATGCCTACGTATCGCTGAGTCGCCACGCAGTTGGCATGCGACCCTACAGTAAGACAAAGCCCGCGAACGAAACCTTTTGAAAACACGTACAAAATAATTCACCCGGGGTCTGCAAGTCGACGTGATAATGCCGTCTGCGGTGTTTGCGGACTCGGCGTCATATCTTACGACAGTTAAGCTATAGAGGTGAAATCGGGTGTCTGGAAGCATGAGCTAGTGTTGCCGTGTAATTTTCTCAGATGGAGGGAAAAACCAAAACCTGAAATTAAATTTTTCAAAATTGCTCAAATTTTCCTCCAAACTTCAACTCTTTTTGAAAATACTTTGCAGTAACCAAATCCGAGTTTTTTGGGCAAACTATGAGATTTAGAAAAAAACTCATTTTTTAGGAAAATGGTTTGCTTCAATTAATCATAGATTTTATCGACTCTGACAGTGAGTGAATTTACACAAAAGTTTCCATTTCTTGAATCTATGATTCTCCAACTGAACATGTGCAAATTCAGTGAAATCACTACAGCAAGACTTTGGTCCTAAATTCCAAAGGATTCTTTCAGCTAATGGTAGAAGACGAAGAATCCGACAGACTCCGAATAGACCGTGACGTTTGGAAGTGTAAATTCCTGGCCCAATCAATTAGATGTGATGAGTTGACACTGAAAAATGAGTACCTATTGAAGACATTGGTTGGAGTACAACAAGCCGTGAGAAGTAAAAAGTGAGTTATTTTTTCAGTTTTTTTTAAAACGATAATCCTTTGAGCTATTGTATCACCAGACTGCATTATCCTCTACAGTAACTTGTAAAACAACGAATTGTTTTTCAGAAACAAAATTTAGATCCAATTGACCTTTATCTTGCTCAGAACCTGAATTTTCGAAAATCATGGTGCCAAGTCTGAAAGCACCACCCCGTCCTCCAAAAATCCCAAAACTTCTGTTTTCAGCGTCACAACCGAAGAGATCCGTGACTTTGTTCAACTCGACCTCCAACCCCTTTTCCATCGTTCTCCTTGCGAGGAGCGTGTTTGTCCCATCTCTGCAAAGTACACTAATTTAACCATTTCATGCTGTAGAAACTGTACAGGTCGTGACATTCAACTTTTGTAATTTGAAGTAGAAATAGTTTGAAGCGGTATATCTCGGTTGTTGTATGAGGTAGGGAAAAATGGTTAATTGGAGAAATGCGTAATATTGTATTCTGAGTATTTTTGTAGTTGAAAACTTTTTGGTATCTCTACTCCTAATTGAGATAGAGTGTTTTAAACTATAAGTAGCCGTGAAGCTTGCAAGTGAGCAGCTCTTATAGTTTGAAGCTTTATATCTCAGTTACCATAAAAGGTAGAGAAAAGTGATTAACTGGAGAAATATGTAAAATTGCATGTTCAACATTTTTGTAGTTGAAAATTTTTTGATATCTCTATTCCTAACCAAGATATACTGCGTTGAACTATAGGGGTCAACGGTACCTGGGCCTGAGTTACCCTTCATAGTTTGAAGCGGTGTATCTCAGTTGCTGTAAGCGATAGAAAAAAGTCTCCAACTAATAATTTGCTTGAAATTGTCAGCTGAGCAACTTTGCAGAGAAAAGTTTTTCGATATCTCTGGCCCTAATCGAGATATAATGCTTCAAATCATGGGGGCCCATCAAACCTGTAGTCTACCAGCCTGCACAGTTTGAAGCTCTGTATCTTGGTTACTAGATGAGCTAGAAAAAATTTGTCAACTAACAATTTGTTCAAAATTGTCAGCTAAGCATTTTTGTAGTTTACTGCTTTTTGCTATCTCCACTCCTGACCAAGATACACTGCTTCCCTTCCACTGGTTTTTCTAACCCCCCCCCCCCTTTTCATTGGTTGTGCACCTCCCTCTCCTTCCTGTATTTTTCAAAAAATGGGTAAATTTATATTCCAACTGTGATACTGTAAACCTATGCAATGATGATTCAAGAATAAATGTTTTTTGAAATCCTCCTCTTCCGAACATTCATGAAAAACGAATAAAAAACGGAGGTGGATGGCGCCAAGAGACGAGACAAGGACGTTGCATCTGTCGCCAATTGGGCGCCACACTTCCTTCAAAAACACCATCCGGTGTCAATTCTTTGAAGAAAGAAAGAAAACTCATTTTATTGCCTCCGTTCATTGCCTTCTTCCGTTCTTCTTTTTTGAGGAGAAAGATGATGATTTGCCGACACTTCTCGAGTTTCTTTTGATCTTCATTTCTGTCTTTCTGTGTGTTGGTTAGTCCAGAAATCCCAGAGAGTTTTGTTTACTTGTCTGATTATCCTAAAATCGCTAAAATTCTGTCTGTGTGTCTGTTTGTCCTGAAATCGCCAAAAATTCTTTCGTTTATCCAGAAATCGCAGATAATTCTGTCTGTTTGCCAGTTTGTCCGAAAAGCACAAATAATTCTGTCTGTACATCGATTTGTCCAAAAAAACAGGTAACTCTGTCTGTGCTTCTGTTTACCCACAAATTCAAGAGAATTCTGTATGTGTGTCTGTTTGTCCATAGTTCATAATGGTCCCTCAGGCCACTGACAAAGAACGCTGGGGCTTCGGACTGGTCTCGACACGAAGAAACTTCTTACTGTCCCATTTCATTTTTCAAAACGAACTTCACATACTTTTTAACGGATCGATTTGACTTTAAAGAAAATTTAAAAAAAAATTAGAATGGAAATCCGGAACTATTACAGTAAGAATTTTCCATCTTGATGAGACTTTCTTCCCCAAATAATTGCGTGCGCCTTTAAAGGTGTCAATCTTTCAGCCTCCCGAACACCACCAAAACCTAATTTTTGATCATCTCAAACTAACAAAAGTACCAGAAAAAGTTTCATCATCTCGTGCAACATCGTCATAAATCGAAATTTCTTTATTTTTTCGGTAATCCGATTACAATGAAAAGAATTGAAAAAGTGGTGCATGGTGGTGGAATTTTTGATAAGAATTGTATGATTTGAACCGTTCCCAGGAAAGATGGAAACGAATTGGAAATTGACAGAGGAAGTGTTTAGTATCAAAAGTTCAAGCAGCACAAAACCTGGTGAATTGGTTTGCGCTCCTGTGGTGTAGTGGTGAAGGCAGATGACTGCGGATCTAGAGGTTGGTGTTCGATTCCACATGGTTGAATAATCTTTTTTAACTTTTTTCATGCAATATAGAAATCTCAGAAAACGGTTTTCTGCGTTTTTTTTCTGCTAAATTCTAGAATTTAGCGATATTTTCCAGGATATTTTTCAGGAACTCCCCTGGTTCCCCTGGCTCCCCTAGCATGTTCCCCGTTGCTATAGGTAACCCCTCTAATAACTTTTTTTATTTACTATACACATTTTATTATTTTTCTCCTCCAACTTTACTTTTTACCACACAAATCATAAATCACCTCCTAACGCATAAAAATGCTCAGCTGTATCCTAGGTCGTTAAAAAATTTGTGACTCCTGTGGGCCTATGCCCTCCATTCCGTCTGGCTCTTTTTGATATATATATATATAGGGAGAGAGGGAGGGAGCAAACACACTGTCCGACGACGGCGTTTTTTGCTCTGTGCAACTTGTGCTCTCTCTCTTTTCTCTCTCTCTCTCTTTCTTTTCATTTTCAAATAGTACCCCCTTCCTCCCTCCCATCGGTTCTTCCCTCATTTACCTCCTCCCCATCATCATCGGGCGCCTGTCTCTTGTGTTTCTAAACCGTATCTTTCACTGTCTGGGCCTCTCAACTCTCTCGTCTTGTTACTAATTATTCACGCTTCGCTTCAGTGGATTCTTCTTCTTCTTTTTTATTCTGTTACTTCACAGTTTTCTTTTTCTTCATCTTGTTTTTTTTATTCTTCATTTAATTTTTTTTTCATTGGAGGTGCCCTTCCTGCCACGCCCACAATTTTCAGTAGCTCTAGAAAAACATGGGAACACCCAGAAGGGAACCTCAGAGGAGGAGCGGCACTTATAGACAAGCCGCACCCTTTCCCTTCTCAGCCCGCGTGGCGCAGCCGGTAGCGCCCTCTTCTGGTAATCCACCGGCGGGGGTTCGAACCCCCACCACCCCAAATTTCTTTTTTTTTACTTTTTTTTTCAGTTCTGCTTTTCCAAAAACACTAACATTTCGAAATTTCCTTCCAAAATTGTTTTCTCATTTCAAAAAATTTCGAAAAGGTGTGTCGAAAGGGTTCGTTTGTTTATCGGGGTGGTGCCCCTCAGTTCATCAACTCTTTTCTCCACACACACATTGACATATGATTTTTGAGAGCTTCACCCTTTGTACCCTCAATGGATCACGTGAATACCATAGAACTATATCCGAAACGATCATCTGATAGTGAGTGACCAAAATACATTTGATATTGAACTAACTTGGTACACATTTGGGTCAGATGGGAAGAAGATCAATGGGGAACCTGCACAAATCATAGAGTTTTATGGGAAATAGGGGGCAAAAAACTACGCGATCTTGCCTCTAATAAAGGAGTAACTAGGGTCGATTATCCATAGCAGGCCGTTGGGGGTGCAGTATCTTGTAGTTTGGAGTCAGTTCACTATTCTGAGCAATGCTTGATTATATTTAAGCATGTTCACAAAACTATTAGTTTCTGAGCAACGCTTCGTAGTTTTTGTAGTTTGTAGTCAATACATGCTCGATTTGAATTGGGAGAAGTACAGCGTCTTAGATTTTCTTGGTTGGATTCCGATCCGTCAAATTTCAATTTTCAGTTCTTCTAGTCTTCACGGAAATCGATTCATCATTTTTCCATAATTATTTTATTCTGAGCAATGCTCTGGAATTTTATTAGTCAGAGGCACAGTATATTTTTTCTATCAAACAAATTGAACTCATCTGGGCACATAATTACCTTGACCACCTGTATTTCTATCCAATAAGTCCCATAATAATAACAGTTACTCTCCCAAAATGTCCTTCAAACACACCTACCGTAATCCAAGGGTAGGTAGGTTAGTATAGGTCAGTGGACTTCACACTTCTGTCAGTGTGTTTGTTTGTCTGGATGTAAAAGTATGGGAACCATTTGATCCGAAAGTTTCTCATTGTACCGAATTAGTTTAGGTAGTTACATACTTGTGAAGTTTTGGCCCGGAGGCCCGGATTCAAAAAATGCTGAACTTTTTTTTAGAAAAAGTTTGCAATTCTCAGAAAATTTTTCATTTTTTCACTGAAAATTCATCAAAGTAGTGTAAAATGATTGGAAAACACAACTGCTTTTTTATGCTTAATATAACTCTGGAGCAAAAAATTTGGATTTTTTTGGATTTTTCAAAATTCCCGGTAATTTTCCGGTCGAGCCTTGGAAATTGGTGAGAAGGCCCCTCTTCTAGAAGATAACCTGAAATAAAGTTGCACGCGATGTTTGAAGCATCATGACCAAAAGTTCCCACAAATAATTAGTAAAAGGGACAAGCTGCCAAAATCTCTGTCTGTCGGTGTGTCTGTATGTACGATGACGCGAGGCCCTATAATACAGTTGTACTTATGTGTTGTTAGACACGATAGTTCACTTCAATTAGAGTTCTTGTTAGAAACTGTTGAGATTATGTAGTTCTGAGCAGCTTGCCCCCACGTCTGTCCGGATTTCTGTTTGTCCGGATATCTAACTCCTCTCTACATCACTTCCTACCCCCACCTGCTCCTTTTATTCCGTTTCTCCCATCCCAACCACTTACTTCTTAATTTTGACATCATCTTTGTTTGGATTTCGCCCCATGTTTCCATCCATCGGTTCTTCGAGTGTTCCTCCCCTTCCTCCTACACTCTTTCTTGTCAACATTTGACACAGAAATATACGTAGCTTGCTCTAACTATTATTATGTGAACACCTTGTTGAAATGATCAGGCTTCCTGGTACCTTAAAGGCGCAGGCTGCTCTAGAAGTCAGGGTTTGGCCAACGTTATTCCACAGCACCTTAGGGCGCACCGTACTTGGGTCTGGCCAACTTTTCGTTGTGTACAAAAATCTTTGGAAAAAAAACACAGTAATCCATTTCATCGCGGTGAGACCTTCTAGAAACTGAGTGCGTGCGCCTTTAAGGTAACCGAAGAGCTTGAGGCTCTTTGAGCCAACAATAAAGGGCACCCCCTCCCCCCACTCTCATCCTCCCTATTTACCTTCAGCTGTACTTTCTAGGAAACAATAATATCTAGTTTTTTCCCACCCAACAAAATGAAAGTCATGGGTCCAAGAGGAAGCAATGATTTTTCGATCTGAACACACTGCTAATTGGGAAAAATGGTGATGATGAGTGACTGACTTATTGCCTAATTGGATAGGTTGAAACATTGAAAAAAAATTACTTTTTTGTCTTAACGACGCCTGGTTTTTTGATTTCAAAACTACTGAAGGTTCTGCTGGGGATAATTGAAAAGTAGTTTGTAGCGTTATATTTTTGACCTATTATCGTGAAACCTCCAGTGGAACTTCTGTTTCCAGCACCACCTTGGTTGCCATTAGAGGTATAAAAAAGTTATAAACTGAAAAGTTATGTAGAATTGAATTGTGAGTATCTCTTTAGTTGATAACTTTTTGATAGCTCAACTCGAAACCGAGATAATAAGGCTCAAACAAAAATGCACCTGAAAACGACCAAACTCTTAGTTAACTAGAAAGTTGATGAGATCGGAAAGAATACTGAAATTACAGTATGCCTTGAATAAAATCTCAAATTAGCCTTAGTTTTGATACAGTAAGAAATTTCGAGGACCGTGGTGAGACCCATTTTTCGAAATCTCTTTCATCTGGACCTATAGATAGTTGGACGGACATGGAATTCTGAAGACTTTTCCATATTTTTGGTAATAGGGATAAACGGATGCACAGACATAAGAACGTTCAAAACCTAGAAGTTATAAGAATTCCAGTTTCTGGCTTCCTTTCACATGGACATACAGGCGTCTAGAAAGATTCAGTATCGGACATCCGGACATTTAGCCGGACTTACGGATGCCCAGACAGACATGAAACTGCCATCAGTCATTAGTTCCAGATAGATTCTATCTATCCCTACCTACCATTTACCCCAGACCCCTTATTAGATATCCGGATAACTGGACATACAGAAGCCCAGACAGACATAAAATTGATCCCTGCTACCTTGAAAACTGAAAAAAAAACCTTTACTCATCATTGTCCCTAAGCCCCTTTCTTCAATAAATGCACATTTTTTCACCCGGACACACAGATGTCCAGACAGACATACAACTCAAACCCCTGATTCCTAGAGCATTCAGTAATCACCCTGCTTCTTCCAAAACTAGAACACTCTTTGACTTATTTTTCCTCAGCCCTTTCATCCAAAAAAAAATCATCCGGACATACAGATGCCCGGACAGACTTAAAATCAACGAAATCTGAAAGTTCAAA